TGTAGGATCAGGTGCCCACATTCTCCACCATCTGTCGGGGTTCGGGCCCCCCCTCAGGCTTAAAGCCCAGTCATCATCAGGGTTGCCTGCCCCAAAGTCCCACCCTCCACCAGTGTTCTTTAGTTCATAGTCTCGGGCCATTCTGTCCTCCGAGTGTTCCCACAGTTACCCGACTGCTCGGGAGGCTGTCTTGGAACTCGGAGGGGGGGGAGCCCACGCCGACTTCGGTGGACTGGTGAGTTGCGGGCTGAACCCCGCCCCAGAGGAGAACGCCTCGGCAGTCAGGGAGGATCCTGAGCCAGAACCTGGAGAGAGGTAAACCCCGAATCACGTCCTGCAGCACCACGGGGCCGGCATGACAGCCGCCCGAGCAGTCGGGTAACTGTGGGAATACTCGGAGGACAGAATGGCCCGAGACTATGAATTAAAGAACACGGGTGGAGGGTGGTGACTTTGAGGCAGGCAACCCTGATGATGATTGGGCTGTAAGCCTGAGGGGGAGCCCGAATCCTGACAGTCACCCTCCACCCTTTTGCCCAGTTAATGCTCTCCATATAGGCTCTATAACCAGTGGTTTTAACAGTCCAGTCATGCAGATCTTCCCATGAGGTTTCAGTAATACCACCTACGTCAAATTCCAATTTCTGCTGATATGATGGCTTGTCACTATTCTGCCACTTCCTCTGTCTTTCTTTCATTTTCTGCCTGCTGCTTCTCCTTCATCTTAAATCATGTGAACACTTATAGCAAATCATCAGTAATGTCAACTGGAATTGAAATAAGTCAATTTTACTACCATCAGAGAGGGCCCAACTCTGCAAGGTGCAGAGCAACCTTGATCCTCACTGATTTCAGAGGGAGGTAGCACAATCAGAACCTTTCTGAATCTGGCCTCTAGCTAAGATTCCTCTTCTTTTGTCCTTTCCCCTGTTACCAGTGCATTGAACACGTTTCAGGAAACAAACCCTCACACTAAACCAGGAGGAAGCACCAGCTCGGTGCATATCAGCTCAGTAGTGTAAAACCATCTTAACTTTTCACTGCCTGTCCTTTCACAAAAGGGACCAAATAATAACATCACATATTTTCTTATTTGTTAGAGATCTGATATCTTGCTGCTTATAATTGTGGACACAATGATTAACCTGGGGTGAAAAATGACTCCTAACTGCTGTAGTGTAGTTGCATGTTTCAGCTAGCTCACCAAGCCACCATATGAGCTAAGTCATACATAATGCAGGAGAGTACTTCCTTTTCTGAATATCAAATGAAATCTCACATGTAAACAGTGGGGGGAAAATCCTGTAGTTCTCAGTGGGCTAAGGAATTCATTTCAGCAAACCAACTGAAGCTCTTGTAACCAGCATAATTAAAGAGGAAATATGCTAACAGCTTCCAGTTTGACAAGAAAAACAAGGTTTCTTCAAATCAAACTTAAATCCTTTTAAAATTCAACTCCATCTTGAATCATGTAGCGTTATTGCATTCGGAATGACACAGCTACAACAGGGTATCACTGCATCAGGGGTTAGATTTTTGCAATAAAGAAGAATACAGTTGTCCTACAGATAATCTGGAAATAACATAATTGTATATTGACTACTATATGTAACCACACCTCACCAATTGCAATCTGGCTTTGTTGTCAATGCTTATATATGCTAATTGTCCTTGTTCTATCTGCTCCACTTGTAGGCTCTGATACACTGTTCTCCATCTATTGCTACAAATATTTTCACAATTACTTATTAATACCATGTTTGTAATGCTTATCATATGCTGTGAGTTTCGTCAACTAGGTGAATCTATCCTTATTACTGCTCATGTCTATGCTTCTATTCCAAATAGTTGTGTTCCACCTATACTCAAGGTCTTTTTTTCTATAATCAAAGGTAAGCCAGTTTAAAGAAGGCTGTGATTTGAGGATGACTTCAATAAACTGTGTGGACACTCAATTTGACTTAAACCACATTTATACTGATTTATCTTAAATAGATTTTTACCCTATTAAAATAAATCAATGTAAACCAGGTTTAAATTGGATTAAGAATTATGTTTTGTATCGAGTAAACTAAGATGATTAAAAAAAAAATCACATTTTTTGTTCAGTCTTCCCTTTCAGCTGGGTAGCAGCACAGCTTCACAGGTGATTAATCAGCCCCGCCCAGTCAGTCAGCTCCATGCAGGGAGCCCTGAGCATCTGAATGGGAGGAGCTGATTAATTTCCTGTGAAACTGTACAGTTTAGAGGGAACACTGCTCTTGTTAAACCAGTGCAATGCTGACTATGGACTAGGCCTAGTATATCTTTACTACTACGTGCCTCTTTTATGTGGGATAGAATTTCTGGCTATGTTTTTATAGAAGGGAATACAAGGCAGATCTTCTGCTGGTGTAAATTATCCATTAACTTCAATGGAACTAGGATAATAATTTACAATGGCCAAGGATCTGCCCCAATATAGCTTGATATAAGAGAGAGGAAAGCATAAGCTGGGTGTAAGAGACAAGGCCTGAGATGTACTCCAGAGCAGATCTGTGGCAGGTCTTGAGATGGGAGGGAGGAGACCAAATTTTGTAATACGAGAATAATGGACAAAAATATGATTGTAGAAATTCAAGTAAGTGGATCCCAAAATGCACAACTACCTGCGTTCCTCTTCAATACACAAAATCACAGATCTGACATTTACACTAATAATTTACATCTTCCATGTAGCCAATCTCCTTTAAGAGCTTTTCATTGTTTCTTACGCAGTCTTGTCAATCATACTATAATTTCTTATAGTAAAAGATATTGTAAACTATCCTTTTAGAGGAAAATGAAAGCAGATCACTGATCTTATTTATGCTCTATATTAAAAAACTTGCATTTTCCAACATTTTGTATTAAAATAATTTGTCAGCATTATATGTGTGCACATATATAACATTCTGTTTTTTTCCTCTTCCCAGAATATACTGACTGAAATCATTCCACAAACATGCAGCACAACAAGAGAAAACAAATCAGCCTAGCAATCAGTGTTGCCACCAGACTGAAGGGAAGTCACTCGTACTCCCATAAGGCGAAAGGTCAGAATACACAGATGTACAGCATGCACAATGCACAACGCACAACGACCTTCAACTCTAAAAAATTTTCAGAAGCATGTCATTTATGCAACACAAAACAACTGCATCACTGAAAATCAGGCCACCCTTATTTAGATACCAAACTGCAGAGTAAGGTGCCTAACTCTACACTTCCTTCTTTGAATATCTGAGTCTAAACTGGCAAAGGCAGTTGTGTAAACAGTGCACAATATTGTAGAAAACTTGTTTGCCTGGAAATTTTGGGACATTTTGGCTCTTACAACCCTTTGTCAGGTACATCTCTGACAGAATACTTTTGAGTTTAAATGTGAAGTGAAACATCAAATATTTTGATTTTTATGGATCATTTCAATCCAGACATTAAGAAACAAACTTTTTTGGAGGTGGAGGGGGTGCAGGCCATGCCTCCCTCTGTGCCCAACAACTCCATTCACCACTTTTTTTCTGCTTAACAGCATGGCAGACGTCCACCAGGAGAGCTGGATGTGAATGGGCAGCAATGGCATTTGACTTATGGCACCAAACATGTTGGAGGAGGAAGTCTCCAGAAACCCTGGTGCAGCTGTGCTCCTTGCTAGTCCAAAGCAGCTCAATGGCAGTCATGTGCTTTGATTTATTTTTGGCCCAATGTGGCTGTCTGTTCAAAACAGGCAACCGCTTCTATTCTCAACTTGCATCTGAGCACCATTCTACTTTATTTTTTTCTGCCTGGGTTTTACCCGCCTGACTTTTATTTACAACACAGTTTGGATAGCGTGCTGTTCTCTCAAAGGAAGTACATTCAGTGTGCCAGATATTCTGCTGAATCTGAGGAGCTCTCTGCTTTGTGCTACTTCATTTCTGTGTTGCTCCGGGCCACGCTGTCCCCTGGGCTGATTCCTGGGCTGCACTAAGTTACACCAATTGCCAAGACCTTATGGCAACTGGCACTTGCACTGGCACTTGCCAGGGCATAGGGACAATTCCTGCAAGCCAGTTAAACCAGCTTTATGGCAGCTATCCAGTGGCTGAGTGGGACAAAGATCCTCTAGTGCAGCCTACGTATGTAAAAAGTTGACAACAACGAAGTTTATATTCAAAATCTTCATGGGATAATAGTATATACTTAAGTATTTATAAGTGATGACTACTGTCTGGCATTGCCTGTGATACGAGCTGTAGAAAAGATCTTCATTGCAAATAAGTGCTTGGCAGTTCTTAATTTAGATATTTGGAACAGTATTTTATATGGGGGCTGTTCTTAAGCACTTCTAATCTAAAGAGGCAAAACAGTAAGGAAAGGCCAGGGAAAGCTTTATTTACTGTACTGAACAAAGATTAGAAAAGTCACCCATTATTCAATGTGTCCAGCTAGCATTTTGAGTATGTTTATCCTGTATTATGCAGTCTAAGTTTAAAGTTAAGTTTTTACTCAGTGAGTGGAGTGGTAAGGGTTTTTATCTAAAGCCTGTTATTAACAATGAATCAAGTTATTAAAACACTGAAATGTGGAAAAGTAAATATTGCTCTTGAGTTTTTCAACCCAAACACAACAGTACTAGAAATATGACAAATAAATGGTCATGAATAGACCCATCTAGTTTCACTGTCTGTGCTGAGTGAAACGCAAAAAATAAATGGGAAAATAAAATGATTTTTACAATTCTTTTGTTTTAATAAATGTTTACAGTAATTTAGACAAGGGATACTTTGATATATATGACAAATATATTACTTGATTTTTCTCAGTGCTCCTTCAACCTTCAAGTTATTTAATTATCATTAAACTATAAACCATATAAAACAAATTAAGAGTTTTCACTTTAAGGTAGCACAGTTCAGAATGTCAGAAAATCTGTGGCTTAGAAAATGAAACATCAAAATGTCATATTTTATATTTCACTTGGTATTACTATCTAAACTTACAGGATGTAGGTGATTATTCCCAAAGACCACATGTCCACTTCTGGGCCATAGGCACATCCACGTAGAATTTCTGGTGCTGAAAATGATAAATATTGTCACTAAAACAAAAATGTAATGCAGAAATAAATACGACTAATAAAAGTCAGGAATTTCAAACATGTCTGACTCCTTAATTCAAAATGCAATTGCAATGTCTCATTTTAAAGTAGAACAAATAGGTCCTGAGCTTGAAAGCCTTTACTTAGGTGAAAATTCCCATTCTCTTGAGTAAAGAGCAACAGGCTTGGTTTCCTGAGTAAGGACAGATGGAATGAACCCCAAACTTGTAAAAGTCAAGAGGGCAAATTAACTTTGATCTCCAATCTGATTTTAGAGAAGGAACCAGATCCATGGAAGCAATAATAGGCAGCTACAGATTTACTGTAGCTTGAGTTTTACTAAGTGACATTTTGTATTTTTTAATGGTGCCAGTAATTCTAAAGTCAAGTTGACTCTATAATTAAGGCTGAAAACCACTCTCCATTACATGTTCTATTTCTGAACCTATTCATGTCTCTCCCTGTCCAAATCTATTTGCTCTAGATTTTCTCATGTTTAATCTCCCATGAGAAGAACAGGGGGCTACTCACAAAAGACTGTGGGCGTGGAAGGCTGCAGGAATCTAGAAAGTTTCTTTGAGAAAGTCCTTTTGCCCAACTTAAGAGGTTCAACCCTGGCAACAGACAGCAATAGCTTACTAGGCAATTATAATGGCCATAAAAGGATATAAGGGAGAGGAAGTCTCTAGGGACACACACAATTCTGAAAGGGCAGAGAAGCCATTCTTCACTAGAGAAACTCAACCCATGTATGATGGGATGGCTGCCCCGCACTGGCAGAAAAAGGGTTAAAAGCAGCCTTAGTGAGGCTGCACCAGAGGCAGCCAATTAGAGAACGGCTGATGGAAGCAGCCAATCAGGGTCAAGAAGGCCAATATAGAAAAGTTGCTGCAGGGCAGAGGAAGGCAGTTAGTTCTCTGTCAGGAGCCATAGGAGAAAGGAGTTGTGTCTCTGTCAGCCAGCATCCTGGACAAAGCAGGGGCCAAGGGAGCAAGGACAGCTGGTGGTGGCTGTTGGTTTTGCAGAATGAAGCAGACACAAGAGCAAAGATGGTGCTGGAGCTATGTGGGAGATGGCCCTGGAGTAATGGACTGCAGTTGGCCACTGAAGGAAGTGCCTGGACAGTATACTGAAAGTCTCTTGTAAAGGGTGTGTGGTATGGCCATAGGAGTGTGCTGATACCACTGCCAGCTGCCAACCAGCCGTATCTTCCTGGGGCAAAGTAGCCAAATATCAGTAGGGGGAGTCAAACCTCACTGTGAAGGAGAGGGACACAATACATGACATGAGACTCATTCATCTTTTCCCACATCTTTAGGCCATACTGATCTTTAAATTGCCCTCTTCAGAATATGCACTACACTACAGTCCTTCGTGAGGCCTATGGGTTGGAATAGTTGGAATTGTCTTTCCTACAAAGGAACTCCCAGTCAATGGATTGGAAAAAAGCAAATAGTGAAATCTCTCTTGGTTCATTCTCACAGTCCCTTATTCATCCCTCCTTCTCCCACCCCATGGGATAAAGGGGATAGGTTCCCTCCAGCTTTACTGCTACACTGACAACCGGGGTTAGGAGGCATAGAAGTGTTTGTGAAGACCCTCTGAACTTGACTGAATGTAATTGATAGTGCTATGATAATGCACTTTTAAAAAATACCATTTGCCTGCTGTACAAACATTAGAGAACAGCCAGCACACAGACTTCATATGTTATATTTATGAAAGCTAAAAGTCATTCTTTATAGTTTGTACAATGTTTATGTAAACTGTCATTTTGATTCTCCCGTGGAGGCAAACCAGTATCTTCCTGCAAACAACATGCATGTGAGCAGTAAGCCAAAGAATCACTGCCCACAAAACAGATATTAGACAGGATCACAAAGAAAAAACAGTTGCTTGCCATTTCAACCAGAAAGGACACTGTCTCAATGACCTACTCACCTGCATCCTACTTCAGAAGACATTCAAATCTGCACTTGAAAGGGAATCCTCTGAACTGGCATTCATGCTAAAATTCAACACTCTCCGCGGGGGGCTGAACAAAGACCCCAGCTATCTTACCCATTACAAAGATAGCTTCCCCAATTATCACCTCTAATACTATTAACTCACAGACATCTACCCTTCCCCACCTCTAATATCATTAACTCACAGGCATTCACCTTCCTTCCCCCCCCGCATCCCCCTTCTGTTCTGAAATGTGATTTGTCCTTTTCATATGTGTTCATTTTTTTAAATTGTATCCTTTGATATATATGGCTGTGACTATTTTCTTCCACTATTTGATCTGAGGAAGTGGATCTGGCCCACGAAAGCTCATCATCTAATAAACCATCTTGTTAGTCTTTAAAGTGCTACATAGTCCTGTATTTTTTTGTGAGCAGTAAGACTTTCTGCAAAGCTATATTAATTAAAGTATGGAGGCTGAATCACTAAGACATCCTGAATAGCAAAAAACTCTTGGCTCTTACTTCTGTGCTGGGAGAGGAGAAGAGCATACACATACACATACACAAATCTTGTATAACTATTAAAGCATGTTAAGCCACGAAGTGGCTACCCTTATTCACAAATTGTGTGGCTTTGTTTCTCTGTAACTTAATCCTTCGCCAGATCTTCCAAAAAAATTACATGTCTGCCAGGGTAGTTTGTTCGTTCAGTGGGGCTGAAATCAGCTATAGTGGTGAAGGTATAGTTGTGCTGGTATTAGCTGCATCACTAAGGGTACTTTTCTGTTTTGCTATACTGGATTAGCATTACTACTTTAGCACTGCTAGTGCACATCTGATCTAACTTGTCTTGTCCCAGCCTCAGAAAGATGCACTGTTTTCCTCCCTCTCTCTGAGGCTCTATGGCACTTCAGGATATTCCATAGAAGTCTCAGTAACCTCCAACTTTTCTAGCTATATTGTGACTATCATGGATTACTCTTACATTTCCTCAGAAGAGCTGTTACAGCTGGGGTGGAATTGGGAAGAGCTCCCAACATCGAAAACATGTTCGTAAAAGGCCAATATTCAGGATGGCCACTGACAACCAAACTCTTCATCGCTTACCTTGATGTGGTGGAGAGGTTTTCTTTTAAAGGTGGGGTCTGTGAAAAACAGGCACTTGGGGTCTTGAAAATAAGCAGATAGCTCAAGGCAGCTTACCTAGAAGAATGAAGTCTCTGATCTCAAGCCCCCATCCATTTGTTAAATGAAGCCTGGTGTGGGGCAGTGGTAGCACCAGTACTGCCCAGTGATGGTCTATGGCAACAAGGTAGGAAGAGATTGGGTATGTACTTAAGTCTAACTGGGGAAATTCCCTCTCACTGTCTATACATCAGGGATGGCTACTGATACACCATATTTCTTATTGGCATAAGGTGACTGTGTTGGTGTAAGCAGTTTGTGTGTGTGTGTGTGTGGGGGGGTCACTAAAGGGCTGTAATTGGTGCTGGGTATAAGGAGGGGGTGAGAGTGGCCAGTATGACTCCTGCCTGGGACTACAGCTAATGATCTTTCAGCCTTAGGTCACCCACTTCAAGCCTGGCAGCGTTAGGCCAACAAGATTTTGGCAGCCATCTCCTGACCTACCTAGTAGAGGGTCAGAGGGACGAATGGTCAGAGCAAAGGATCAGAAACAAAGCAATGACCTGCACAGCCACAGAAGTCTTATTTCAAAAGTGGCAACACCGGTTTCAGTTTGACATGTAATTGTATGGAAGTCATTGAGGAAATAGTAAGGAGAGGTGGTTTCAATGTGGTGGGTCAGGAATGCAGTGAAGGGGTTGGCCTTAGATTATAAATTCTCCTATGCAGGTGACAAAATGGGGCATTGTGAAATGTTGGTAGCAGGGAGAGGAGAGCTGAGGCAGACTGTGTGTGCAGTTATTAGAGAAAGTGACAGACTGATGGCTGTTAAAAATGAAGAAGCATGTCATGTTTCTGATATCACTGTAGGCATCTCAGCCTGGACATGATGAAAAGGCAGAGACTTCCTATAAGACTTGCAGGTGCTAGTGGATACAGTGGCCCACACATAGCTACTTGTGGTACTTGGTGAGGTGAAAGCACAGTTAGGCAGAAACAAAAGAGGGTATGACGTGTATTTAGGAAAATGCAGCTTAGGCACTATGAATGAGGAAAGGAAAATGCTACTGTATGGGCAAATGATGGATGATGGCCAATACTTGATTCCAAAAAATAGTGTGTTAGCTGGTTATGACTGGTTCCATCAGTGGCAGAAACAAAAAACATATTCTGTTGATAAGGAAATCTCAATGGAATCAAGCAATGGGCTGCAAATTGATACCTAGTGTCACTGCAACATAAGCCTCCTGTGGCAGTGATTGTGGTAGTGTGTTGGACAAGGAGGGAGCTTCTCCAAAAGAAAGATTAAAATACAGAAAGTTAAGAGAAGTACAGCAGAGATGTTTGTGCAAAGAGTACAGGATATGGGTCCAGAAACTGATTTGCCATCATCTGACTAAAAGAATCACCTCAAGAGAAATGGAAGTCAGAGGGGTTCACAGACTATATAGATGGGGAAAACCAATGGCAAGAGACATAGCAATGGACCGGCAAAGTGTGTATCTTTTTTTGGATCTCTGCTTGCAAACAAAAAATGGAGCACCCTCCCCCCCCAAAAAAAAGAATCCATTGACTGTAAATAAAAACAAATATGAAGAAGCTGCTAAGCAGGCAGTGAAAAAGGACAAATAAAGTGCCCTCGATCACTATGCAGAGCTTATAAGTGACCCAGGGCTGGCTAGCAAAAATACCTACAGCACTACAAAAATGAACTGCAAAGGTGGGAAGGATTACACATCATGTGTAAATGAAGATTGGGGAGACTGCTAATAGAACATCCGAACAAAAAAAGGGAGAGGTGGAAATGATACTTTGAATCTCTTAAATGAGTCAAACCTCTTTAGGCTGGAGTTGACAACATGTGATCCAATGTGGTGCCTGAGAACGAGGTGAAAAACACAGTC